TTTACAAAATTAACACTTCAAAAAATTATTAAACTTAGTCGGAGGAGGGGGGGCTTAACAGTAAAAAAATCAAAATAAATTAAAATTTATGTAATAAGTAAGAAATAAAATTTACAAAATTAACACTTCAAAAAATTATTTAAACAGAAAATTTTGTTATTTTCTCTTTCTTTGATGGTTTTTCTAGTGGTATATTGGGTGGCATATACACCGGAAGTAGCTTCCATTTCGTTTCTTATATTACACTCTGACATTTCATATTAAGAACTATTTGTTTCGGGTTTTCAGAATCATACATTTAAGCCTCAAAATGGATACAAAAATTAAATAATCTAGAAAACATTATCAAATTGCTCGTTCATATCTTTGCATAATTTATTTGAAACGTTAATTTATAAATTTGAATTATTATTTTTCTACGTAAGTATAATGAATTTTTGTATTTTATAGGTAAAATATCTCAACTAAATTTGGTGAGGATAAAATTTCATAAACTAAAGATGTAACGATAGTAACAATTTGTTTTACCAATATTGTAGAAAGAACGATTAATTAGTTGAATAAAGTTAATTCAAATTTTTTTCACATTAAATAAAGTTAGTTTGTTTTACCGTTATTGTAGAGATTTCAGGGTTTAGAGAGATGAGCAGATACCGAATTAAATTTCCGAACCGTACCGATCTAATAAAAATGAATCCAAACCGAACTGAACTGTATAAATACCAAGTGAATTTTATTCTATGGTATTTTGGATTATGTGTTTATTAAAAGTGAACCTAAACTCGAATGACTATCTGAAAACAAAAAAAAAATCAAAAAATTTCAAAGGAAGCTTATACCAAACTCGAACCCAATCCCAAAATGTCTTAAATCTCTTTGTACCGGTAAAAAACTATCATTTGTTAGTACGGTACACCTTTTAGGATTTTTTTTTTTAAGGATGAGTATGTACTTATAAAAGGTAAAATAAATTAGGTTACTATAAATACGAGGCAAAGAGAATATAAAGTTATTTATTCACATAATAATATAAAAACTAGATCCTAACCCGCGCAACCGCGCGGGTTTATTTTTAATTTTTAATTTTTATTTGTATTACATGTTATATTTGATATATAATCAGTGTTTTGAAATTCGACCGGATCCGAGATTGAACCAAGAAATTCGGTTACCTATATGTAATCCAGTTTAGTTTTAGAAAACACAATTATATAAAAGAACTTATTTATGAAATTACTAAAAAAAACAAAACTAGATTTATAGTAAGAAAGTAGAGAGATAGTAAAAGAAAAAAGGAGAGAAAGTGGAGTTTTAGTTAGTTAATGAAATATACAATTTTTAGGGTCATTTGACATAATTTCGTTATATATAAGAACACAATATAATCAGTAAAAACCGTTAAAGTCTTGAACTCGATCCAATAGATAATTTCTACTTTTTTTATTTTAGATTTTGTAACTATGTTATCAAAATTTGTTTTGTATTCTATATAAAAATTAGGTTTTTATTTTTTTACAATCATTTTCCTCTACTGTTGACTTTGTTTGTCCTTCGATTTTTTATGTCTTTTGATTTTTTGTTTATCGTGAATTTTACTTACAACTTGACTTCTGTAATTTTGATTTGTTATTTTTAGATTTATTTTCATAAATAAAAAATTCTCTTATATTTTAAATATATAATATATTATTATGTAGTAAAATTAATTTATTTATTAACATATGGCTCACCCGCAATCGATATAAGTGGTAAACAATTTGATTATTCTATATAAGTGGTGAAATTTTTTTGTATAGGCATTTTACATAGTGATTTCTAATATTATAGGCCGATCTGCAAAGCAAGAAACAAAAATTAATTTAGAAGCAAATTAGGTGATTAATAATATGTAATATTATAATTGTTTATGTATTTTAATTTATCTATTATATTGTTAATGTAAAGATTATTTATTAATTATATATGTAAGAAATTTTATGGTTTGAATTTTGAATTTAATTATTTTATTTGTTTAGAAAAGACAACAAAACTAAAATATAGCTAGATTAATTACTTTAGTGACATATGATTGTAAATAACTTGAAAAATTAAGGGGTAATTTATTTGGGTACTTCTATTTTAATAAAGTAGATACTAAACTGTATTTGCCACAATCAGTTTGGTTCTTTGCTTTATTTGAATTTGATTCATGTTTGTTCATAATAACTAACGTAATTATCTATTACAAGAATAATTAATTCAATACAGTTTAATGTTTTTACAGTTACATTTTATTTTTAAATATAAATAGATTTGCTTCTAAAGTTGTATAAGTATTTATTTATTTTGAATTTAAAATAATGTCTTCTACTTTTATAAGAATTATTTTCCTATATCACTTTTTATTGTTGAATATTTCCTATTTTAACTTAGCATAATCTTAGAAAATATTTTGCTTATTAATTTTAAAGAATTCATTAAATTCGTAATTAATATTAAATATTTTAAATAAATAATATTTAAATTTTAAATAAAAATAAAAATTTTATAATATTTTATTTTAATTTATAAAGTTAAAATATAAAATTAGAATTTTTTTTTTAAGTTTAATAAAAATAAATTATATAAAGTACAAAACTATATTTTTAATTATATAATTTTTAGTGTATAATTGATGTATTATGTTTGTAAATTAAATAAAAGAAATTCAGCTTATTTAAAGTAAAAAAAAATCATGGAAATAAAATTTGATCAATGAGAAATATATAAAAATATCTTATCCATTTTCATTAGAAAACATAAAAGAAACTTAATGAAATGGGTTAGATAGATAAATTATTATATTTTGCTTCTTATATAGATATTTTTAAATAAAAATATAAAAATTCAAACAAATTATATATTAATATATGTTGTTTCATAAAAACATATGAAGAAATTATAAATAATTATATATAATAATATGGAACAAAAATATTAAGTTATATATTATAAGCACACAAAAATTCTAACATATATTCTATAAGATTGTCGTAAAAATTAAATATAATTATATAAAAAAATTATCCACGTGGTCGAGCGGGTTAAAATCTAGTTTTGAATTATAAATAAGAATTCGGATAACTGAAGTCAGATATTGAGCCCAATCTAAAGTTAAAACCGGTCATCTAAGGTAAACTTACGATGTGATACTACTTTGATTGGTAACATGTGTTATCTTTGATTAAATTTGAGTTAGGCTAATAACTCAAAAATGTTACCAATCATGCATTAAATCTTTTTTTTTTAAGTTTGCTTTAACATGTGTTGTAGTTAAGTTACAATTTTGACTTTGGCCCTTTATTAAATTTTTAACTCAAATCATAAACCTACATCAACCAAAATACCATGTTTTAGAAGATGAGTTACAATTTAAATTGATTTTTCTATTTAAAAAATGAAAGCCGTGAACTAATATTTCGGTGTGTCTATTAAAATTTTTATTGCTTTGTTTATTTACGTTTAAAACTCTACCGTTGTACAAAAACATTTGAAAACTCTACCTAAATTCATGCTAGTCAAAGATTCTATAATCTTTCTTGTTCTTATCTTTTTGAATTATTCAAATGTTTAACCAATTATATACAAAATCTTAAGTGTAAATATTATTTGATAATTCAAAAAATATCAGTCACAAAAATCTATATAAGACCCTAAGTTAGTATGGTATCTCGTTACTTTCAAAATCCAAAAGCTAAAGGTCTGCTTTCTTCGGTCGTCTTCTTCTTTTGCTTGAAAAAAATATTTTCACTTTTTAGTTGCAAAAGATTTTTCTATTCTTCTTCTGTACTTCTAATAATTAGATTAATATTTTTACTTAAAGAAACCAATACGCTTAAGTTGAGTTTCTAAATCTTCTTCTTCTTTACGTGCAAAATATATTTTCATTTTTACATGCATTAGCTTTATATATTGTTTAAAAATAACAAAGTGCCTTTTATATTTATTAATTTTTGTTTATTCTTTTGGATAAAGATGTCTCAGAATGAAAACGTTGATGATGCTGGTGCTGCTGCTGAAGATGGAGGTGGAACTATAGGTCGTAAGGTAAATTTTATAATCGATATGTTAGATCTTAAAATAATAGGAATTTATGGTATTTTAATTATTTTAACATAACTATAGAAACAAAAACAAATTATATGGGAATATGGGCATATTGAGCTATACTTGGAGCTTCTCGATATTGAGTTGGTCAACATTAGATACATATAAAAGTTACCAAAATAACTGGGGAGAGAACGTATTTGTAAAGAATTTTTTGAGAAAACTGGTATATATATGTAGGGATGTTATATAGGGTTACCCAGCTCAACCCAACCCTATTCTAGCCCAACCCTATGTTAACCCTAATAGTTTATGTATGAAGGGTTGGGTTGGGGTTGATTCAAGGTTGTCCTATTTTATGAAATCTATTAAAACAAAAGCAAATAATATTAACATATGATTTTCTGGTTTTGGCGGGAAAAACTCGATTTTCAGGTTTTGGCGGGAAACAAGATTTTCCGGTTTTGGCGGGAAGACTCGGTTTTTTGGTTTTGGCGGAAAAATCAGATTTTCCGGTTTTGGCGGGAAAGTCCAGTTTTCCGGTTTTGGTTAAAAAAACTTGATTTTCAGGTTTTGGCGAGAAAACTAGATTTCCCAATTTTGGTGAAAAAACTCGGTTTTCCGGTTTTGGTGGGAAAAGTCAATTTTCCGGTTTTGGCGAAAAATCGATTTTCTGGTTTTGGTGGAAAAACTCGATTTCCCCAGGTTTTGGCATTTCTTGGTTTTGGCGGAAAACTTGATTTCCATATTTTAGCGAGAAAACTTGATATCCCGGTTTTGGCGGGAAAACTTGTTATCCAGTTTTGACAGGAAAACTTAATTTCTAAATTTTGACGAGAAAACTTGATTTCTCGATTTTGGTGAGAAAAATCGATAACGTATATGTCTTCCTTGGGATTGTTTCAAGAGCAAGTACGATACATTGAGAAATATGTATGGATCGTATAAAAAGCTCAAGAATTTTACCGGAGTTTCAGCAGATGACGATACCAGTTTTATTGAAGCGGATTATGAATGGTGGGACGACCGCAAAAAGGTAATTTACTGTATATTCTTATATTATACAAAAAAATCTTGTAACAAACCTTGTACTGATATTTATGTTATATAATTGTGCAGAAAATTCAATATGCAAAAAGATCCGTGAAAATGGGATCCCACACATGGTACTTATGAGACGCATATTTGGACGTCAAGGTAGTAAACCAGAAGCCATGTACTCAACTCATTTGCGAGATGCAAAAGATGCTGGACAAAATGAAAATGAGCAGCTAGAGAAGTCTGTTCCAGAAACACAAGATGATGATGGAGACGATTCAAATACCATTCATACAACTGACGGGCATCACTACTCACAAACCATTTCACTAGAATCTCCTCCAAGGTCACCTATTGGTCCATCAAAGCGGTCAAACCGAAAACAAACCCGTGTTGCTCCATACGAAAGTGGTCTAGGGAAAGACGTATCACTGAGCCGCGAGAAGAACATCCCACGGAGAAGAAAGTCATTTGAAAGAGAGATAAATGAGCAGTTCAAAGAAATGATGGAATTACGTCGTTCTCAAGTTGCAGAAGCAAAAAAACGAAGAGAGAAAAATGAAATCCTGAAATCAATTCAAGGTCTAACAAGGTGGAAAAAATTTTGGTGGTCTTGCATCAACGTGCTAAAAGAAGATTCATTTGCCCGAGAAATGATTTTTGTACAATGAAAGTGATCAAGATAGGATTACATTCTTGGAGGGTTATACATGATATGATCGTCAAAGAAATTTCTCCAGAGAACGTTTCAAGGCTTTGGAATGTCGCCATGGTGATCCTCCAAGTGCCAACCCAGAGCAAAACATCACAAGCACAACCATGGAGAATCATAAGGAATATGGTATCCCATCTAATTTAGAACTAATGTCATTGTTTGAACAAATAGGATACAAACGTGGATTTAGGAATATTGGTGGTGATGGGGGGGGGGGGATCAAGTGAGACAAGAATTAATTTTGATGATAAAAATCTTATTTTAATATTTCTTTTTATTAGAATAAAGTAATATTTATTTGTTTTATTTTAAGAGTTAATAAATTATTATTTTTAGTGAATATATCTTTCATGATAGTTAACACTATTCTAATAAATTGTCCTAATCTTCTATACTTTTGCAGATCATATGATTAAATGAGCTATATTCTCGAGGTTTAGAAAATCTTACAGAAGAAGAGTTGCTAGAACTTTATGATCAAGAAGATGAATAGTATATGGATATGATTCTACAACCTTTGAAGGAGTATTACAAGCGTCATTTTTCCAAGCAACCAATGGTATTTGAAAGGGGGCTGGGTTGGCAAAATCTCGAGAATCAGATGCGTAATAATCCAAACCATTGCATGAACATGCTAAGGATGCATCCAGAAGCATTTCAAAACATATGCAAAACATTGGAGCATCGTTACACTTAAAGAATACCGATCATATTAGTGTTGCTAAGATGGTGGCAATATTTCTCGTTACATGTGCCCAAAATGATACACAACAGTATGTTGGGTTGTCTTTTGGTCGTTCCCAACCATGGGGTGTTGGATGCAGTGGAGAGTCTTGCATGTGAGTACTTAAGAACTCCAAAATGGCATCGCTCCGGCTTTATCCACTTAAGTTACGAGAAAATTCAAACTATTGGCCTTTTTAGCGGGTTTATTGGGGCACTAGATGGAACACATGTCAGAGTTAAGGTCGGAGGTAGTGATGCGGTTGGATATTGGGATATACATGCACAAACAAGCTTGACCATAATGGGCATATGTGATATAAATATGATTTTCACGTATGCATGGTTAGGTGCATCTGGATCTACACAAAATTCCTTAGTGTTGCAGTATGCAATAGATGGAGACCCTATATTCCCTAAATCTCCTATAGGTAAATACTATCTTGTTGATTCTGGATATGCCAATAAACGAGGATTTCTAGCTCCATACAGAGGAAGCAGTAGAGAATATTAGATATCATCTTAGGAACAAAAATGAATTGTTCAACAAATGGCATGCATCACTTTGCTCAGTCATTGAAAGAACATTCAGAGTTTGGAAAAAAAAAAATGGAGAATCCTTGACAATTTTCCTCGATACGATGTCAAGATCCAAAATAGGATTGTGCATGCGACAATGGTTCTTCACAATTTTATCAGCCTTCACAAAATTCCAAATGCAAATTTTTGAAGATAGATATATCAGTATTCAAAAGGAACAAAAACGACGAACTAAAGAAGACTTGAAGAAGAAGAAATATCAACTGATGGTCAATACATGAACAACATAAGAGATGAGATTTCAAACATGATTTGGAATGAACATTTATAATTTTTTGCTATTATCAGAATTTTTAATTTAAAGTTTATGATATTATTATTATTTCATTTAATTTAACTTATTATTGATATTAGAATAAATAATATTAGTAGCTATTATAATACTTAGAAAATAATATATACTGAAAGTTATTTTTCAAAAGTTTTATTTAAAATAGTTTTTATTTATTTTAAAATAGCTCAATGTTTATTTGTTTTTTAATAAAACAAATTCCATTTATGTTTTTTTATATTAATTATTTTATTCAGAATTCATAACGCAACTTATAAATAAAAAATGTTACCAGTCATATATTTTAAGAAAATAGTAACTTTTGTTTTTACTACAAATTTACAACATAAGCATACAATTTTTATCACATACTTTGTACTGCAAGTTATATTAAACTACAAATTATAGTGTAATTTAACTCTAATACTACATTTTACCAGTAGAAACCTTATATTAGAATGGAATTTGAAGAAACCCAAACCAAACTTTAACAATATCCAAAATAAATTAAACGAAATTGAATCCAATTGTACATCCAAACATCCATGTTCATATATCCCTTTCTTAGGGTCCGATTGGTAATGACTTTCGCTTTAGGCTTTGACTTTAGAATTGTGGCTGTAGAGATTTTGGCTTTAAAGGCTGTAACTGTTACTTTAGAGAAAGTTAAAAGCATGATTGGTACTCAAAGCTTTAGAAGCTGTGACTGTTATAAATATATGTTTATAATTCATTTTTCAAAATGTATTACCTATTTTTTTATTTATACAAGTTTATAAAATATATTGGGTAGTTTAAAAGAAAATCAATCAAATTTATCAACAATATATTTTATTTCTTTATTGTAAAAATTTGAAATTGTAATCAACAAAATTATTTTATTAAACTTAAAATAAGATAATAATTTATTAAATAAATAAAAATTATTCAAAATTAAATTTAAAATAAAATTACAATTTATTAAATAAAACAAAAAAAAATATTAAAAAATTAACGGGGTCTAGCCCATATGCTGTTTGCAATCTCATCTCGAACACCTTCCATATATTGTCTTGAACTGAGATCTTGGTCCATCGTATTTGGAAGTTCTTCTTCATTTATCGTTTGTCCGTTTTCATTTTCTTCTGATTGGAAGTCAGGATCCACTGTAATAGTAAAGTATTACTTTTTTCTCAATGGTAAAACCTAATCTAACTAATGAAAATGAATTTAGAAATCATTGTATTTGTTTTTTCTTTCACTTATTATACTTTTTGAGTGTTTCGTAAATGTTTTCAATTATTTATACAATATTTTTAGTTTTTAACAGATTAATAATCTATTAATAGTAAAGTATGACTTTTTCTTGATGGTGAAACCTAATTTAACTAATGAAAATGAATTTATAAATCATTGTATTTATTTTTTCTTTCAATTATTATATTTTTTGAATCTTTCGTAAATGTTTTCAATTATTTATACAAAAAATTTTAGTCTTTAACAAATTAATAGTCTATTAATAGTAAGGTATGATTTATTCTTGATGGTAAAATGTAACTAACTAATGAAAATGAATTTATATATCATTGTATTTATTTTTCTTTCAATTATTATACTTTTTGAATCTATCCTAGATGTTTTCAATTATTTATAATTTTTAGTCTTCAACAAATTAATAGTCTATTAATAGTAAGATGTGACTTTTTATTGGTGGTAAAACTTAAACTAACTAATAANACTAATGAAAATGAATTTATATATCATTGTATTTATTTTTCTTTCAATTATTATACTTTTTGAATCTATCCTAGATGTTTTCAATTATTTATAATTTTTAGTCTTCAACAAATTAATAGTCTATTAATAGTAAGATGTGACTTTTTATTGGTGGTAAAACTTAAACTAACTAATAAAAATGAATTTATTAATCATTATGCTTATTATTTCTTTTATTTTAGTAAGAAATGAACAAAAAGTCAAAAATAAAAATAAATCACGTTTTTTTATCATAGCAACAAAAAAAGAGTGTGTTGTAAAGTCTCAAAAAGTGGCCGTAGAAAAAAATGAACAAAAAAACAGTTTTTTTAAAAAGTGGGCTTTAGTGGCTTTACAAATCTCTAAAGCCTACAAAAAGTGATTGGCAAATATTTGGTTTTAGCGGCTTTACACAACCACAAAGCCCTCAAAGCCCATACACCAATCAGACTCTTAGACTTTTGTACTAAATTTCATTTTCTTCTTTTCTCCACCCAACTCGCATTCTTCCCACGCCGTCGTTTTCATCTCATATCATTGTTTACCATTCTTTTATGAGAATTTTACACTCTAAGACACTTTTTGTCTTTCAATTTACCCTATTAGACACAAGTTGCTGGACACACACTTTATGTGTGGGTAAAGACCAATATACCCTTCAACAAATTTGTTCTTTCGTTACTTCATGTGTCCAAACAATCTGGTTTGGTTTTATTTATTTTATTTTATATATTAGCTTTTTAGTTTTTTTTTAGTTAGTATACCTTATCTCTTTCTCAATTTCCACGGTTCATAAGGCGAAATCAAAAACTAATTAGCAAACTGAAATCATACACTCACACTTCTAAATTCCAATCCAAAAACTTATCGGAGCTTTGTTTTCTTCATCTTCATCGGAGTTGATATCGATTTCATCTTGTGTTGGCTTAGCTTCAGAGGAAGAGACAATCGGGGAGGTAGACAACGTAGCTGCGGCGGAAGATGTGACCGAGGCGCTAAGAGAAGTCGAATGGTCAACGCTTCCTCGTTCGTTGGGAGAGTTATCCTCTTGATTCTTGTTCCTTCACTCTTTCTCTAAGTGGGAGAGTGCTTCTCTAGATTTGTGTTCCCTTGATCTTAGGATCTTCACTAGTTCTTGTTTCCTTATGTTGCAGCTATAATACGAGTTACTTTATCCTGGTGATTTTCGTTTTGGATTAGTGGAAAAAAACTCATCTTTTTTTAGTTNTGCAGCTTGTTAACATGTGTTTTTGTGTTGACTCAGGTCTTGCTTTGATTTCAAGACCATTGGCTATTGTTGGTGCTGCTTTGACGGTTTTGAGCATAGCTTCCCTTAACGACATGTATACATTTCTTTTAGTTTCTACCTTAATTAAGAGCAAAAAAACATAACATATGGCAAGTATTCTGCAACAAAAAGCTCTGTATTTTTTGGAAATTGAGTGAAACTCTAGTTGCAGAGCTTGAGACAGAGAGAATGTGGACAGGTGTTGTGTGTATGTGGTTGGTGTGGACAACGGTTGTGGTGTGTGGATGTGGTCAGTGTGGACAAGAATTGTTTCAGCTTTTGCAGCTTATGCATTTTATCATTATCTTTGCTTGGCTTATGTTTCTTTCTCTTCTTTGTTTCAGCTTTTACAGCCCCAGATGTTGACGGCACATTCAGTCTAAGCTCACATAACTTTGTTTCATCTACTTCAGCAAGAGATGTTGACGGCAAATTCAATTCAGGCTCACATCATCTTGGACATGCGATAGCTTGAGGTGCCTTGTCTCTGTGATTGAGAAAGACTGCACTGGAAGTGGAGCAGACAACAACTTCCTCTCGGGGCAGAGAAGTACTTTCAAGGTTTGGTTTTTTGAAGGTCAACTGAAAGTACAGTAGTCTATTCAAGTTCAAGTCATAGCAAAGTTTTCAAAACCCACCAAAGAACTTCCTCTGTATGTAAATTTAGGTTTTCAAAGTGCCTTGTTTATGATGTTTTGGTTAACCATTTTGTGATTGATCAAAAATTGTTTGCTTTTTTTCTTTTTCTGAACAGCTTTGCTAGCCGAGAAAGGGAAGCTGAAGAACCTAGCTGTGATTGTGACCATGTAACTGAAGGGAAGAAAGTAACCATGTAACCGAAGGTATATTTAATGCTTGTAATTATTATATAGGCAGGAATCTAAATATTGATGATGTCTAAATGGAGGCCATGTTTTTTTTTGGACAGTTTGATTCGTATATCTATGGCAACTTAATAGTAGAGTTTCAACAAAAGGTGCTGAGCATGTCAATAAGGAAAAAAGCACAACAGATGGAGAGGTTCCTTCGTGTAAATGTTGATGTCAGCAACTTACTACCCAAAGACTCAAGTTAAAAAGATAACAGAGGTAAAATCATGTTTTTTTTCTTTGATGAATCTCTGTTATGAATTTGTGAGATATGTGTACACCATTTGCATCCACAAGTCGCTCATCCACAATCCCTCAATCCACAATTTTCTCATACATCTTGTTTTTACTTCTTTTTATAATCATATATAATTTGTATATATGTTTAGTGTTTATTTTGTTTTTATTATCTATATTTCCATTTAATATACTATTGCATAGTGTAACTTATTAAGCCAAACAACATTTTCAAAGACTTATAAAAATCTGTATTTATGCGTGAACAACCCATCAAACCCACACATCTTCCATCCACTATTTCACTATCCATATATATCTATATCTATAAAAAAAAAAAATACATTATGGATATCAAAATGTAAAAGATAAAAAGTTAAAATTTCTTTCACACATAAATACAGATTTTTATACATTAGAATTTGTAATAAAATGACTAATAAGATATGATGGGGAATTGATAAGCCAACTAAACACCTAAGAGCATGTTTAATGGAGGTTGCTTAGAGAGTTGCTTAGGAGGAGAGGAGTGTTTAATTTGAAGAGAGAGAGTTGCTTAGGAGGAGAGAAGTTGCTTAATTAAGCAACTTCTCTCCTCCTAAGCAATTCTCTCTCTTCAAATTAAACACTCCTCTCCTCCTAAGCAACTCTCTAAGCAACCTCCATTAAACATGCTCTAACTAGTATCTAGCGCTCCCAACGTCAGCTAATCTTGTATCCTCAGTGGAAGGGTATTGTGGTCTTAATATTGCATAGAATCTAGCAATTGTGTCTCACAAGCAGCAAGTGTCCTTTTGAGTAAGAAAAGACACAAAAGTGTATAATTATGTAACTCACTCTTCTTTTATTTACGACACGGGAAGTTTCATTTTCTTTACTTTTCCACAAAATATTTGCTATCTTCCTCCCCTCTTAATGCTTGATAAAACTTTCTTTCTTTCTTTATGGTATTTTAAAAGATGTACCAACACTAAATTCCAAATTAACCAAATTTGATAGATTTGTTTACATATCTGACTGTAGTATATATATATATATATATGTTAATTGTGTTACATTTTGACTATTTCCATATATTAACCTTTTAGTAGTTATCATTCCAAAATTACATAAAGTTGCAAATGATTTGAAGCTTCTTTATTTGGTCATCATAGTTTACCAAAGATAATTCTATATTAAAAAAAAAAAAGAAAAAAAAAAGATAATTCTATATCAAAACATCCATGGGTATGACCAGAAAAAACGACACGTAAACCAGTAACGTGCTAGGATTCTTAACTACGGGAAATAAAAATCGCATCAAACAGCAGTTAAATCAATTAAAAAAATCAACGTGGATTGATTGACCATAATAATAACAACAATATACCAAAATGACCAAACTACCCCCTCCGTCTTCAAACCTCTGATCTCTTATTTAAACAGAACTAAACTCAAAGCCCAATTCTCATTACAAACCTTGTCTCTCCGACCAAACTCCAGATCTCAAAAAAAAAAACCAAAAACAAAATGGCGTCTGAAAACAACGAAACCAGATCCGATCCAACGCCGAGGAAGATCGCACTGGTCACCGGAATCACCGGCCAAGACGGATCATACCTAACCGAGTTCCTCCTCAAGAAAGGCTACGAAGTCCACGGCCTGATCCGCCGATCATCAAACTTCAACACTCAGCGCATCAACCACATCTACATCGACCCTCACAACGTCGACAAGGCTCTCATGAAGCTCCACTACGCCGATCTCTCCGACGCCTCCTCCCTCCGCCGCTGGATCGACGTGATCAAGCCCGACGAGGTGTACAACCTCGCCGCGCAGTCTCACGTCGCCGTCTCCTTCGAGATCCCCGACTACACCGCCGACGTCGTCGCCACCGGCGCCCTCCGTCTCCTGGAGGCCGTCAGATCTCACATTGTTGACAGTGGTCGCACCGTGAAATACTACCAAGCGGGGTCCTCCGAGATGTTCGGAGCAACCCCGCCTCCCCAGTCCGAAACGACGCCGTTTCATCCCAGGTCTCCTTACGCAGCGTCGAAAGTCGCTGCGCATTGGTACACTGTGAACTACCGTGAGGCGTACGGTTTGTTCGCGTGTAACGGGATCTTGTTCAATCACGAGTCGCCACGTCGCGGTGAGAATTTCGTGACGAGGAAGATAACGAGAGCATTGGGGAGGATCAAGGTTGGTTTGCAGAGGAAGCTGTTTTTAGGGAATCTTCAGGCGTCTAGGGACTGGGGTTTTGCAGGGGATTATGTTGAGGCGATGTGGATGATGTTGCAGCAGGAGAAGGCGGATGATTACGTTGTGGCGACGGAGGAGTCGCATACGGTTGAGGAGTTTCTTGAGGTTTCGTTTGGGTATTTGGGGTTGGAGTGGAAGGATCATGTGGAGATTGATAAGAGGTATTTTAGGCCTTCTGAGGTTGATAACTTGAAGGGTGATGCTAGTAAGGCGAAGGAAGTTTTGGGGTGGAAGCCGAAAGTTGGGTTTGAGAAGTTGGTTAAGATGATGGTTGATGAAGATTATGAGCTTGCTAAGAGGGAGAAAGTGCTTGTTGATGCTGGTTACATGGATGCTCAGCAGCAGCCTTGATTTGTGGGTGGATCGAATATGGTTCTATAAGAGTTTCAAAAGTTCATGTCTTTTTTAAAAAAAAAAAATTATTGCTTTAAAGGTTTGTTTTGTTTTCTAGTTTCTTGTCGTTTTATTAAGTTATCCAATTTGTTTCACTCAATGAGTTGAGAATGAAGCACATTGAGTTTTGTATGAAAGGCATCCTCTGTTCTTTCTAGTCTCTTTGTATCTCCCAAAGTTTCATTAAACAAAATTGTCTCTTTTACTTTCCCTCTTGGAATTGGCTCAAATCTACATAAGCTCAGACATTACTTGACATAGAAAAGGTTTGGAAACAGAAAGTGAGATGAAAAGACATGTCTCATTCAAAAAACAGAACTAACTTTGGGGTATTCTGTCACACTCTAAAACCTCTTTTCCTTTTTATTTGCATCTTTGCACTATCATGACTATGATCTACTATGACTTGTTGTCACTCTAAGCAAAATGCTCTACTATGACACCTAAAAGAAACTACTACATCTACAAAATTATGCTTTCAAAAGTTTAAAGAAGAAACAAAATGCTCTACTATCACTCGTTGTCTTGTTTCTGTAACTTCTGTCTGCATGATAGTGTGACAAAGATGCAAATTAAAAGGAAAAGAGATTGTGTTTCAAAAAAATGTGTTTCAAAAAAAAAGGAAAAGAGATTGTTTAGTGGTAATTCACTCGGACCTGCTGCCTAAGAAACTACTACATCTATATTTGGTTCCTTTCGAGAGCATAGTTTTATCCTTGGCTCAAACCTCTGTGTCAGTCAACAAAGCCCTAGGTTAGGGATGATTCCATAAAAGCTAACCTGCACGAGACCCTACTCTTAAGCAAGCAGTTAAACACAGACAAATATCAACACATTTTTAACGAATTGGCATTTTGAAGTTACATTTGAGATCGCTGACTCTCAGTCTCAAAATTCACATTTGCTAGTAGTGTACTTCTCACAGAAGCTACACCACTTACAATTAAATCAAATGGGATTTTCTGATATCTGACCCCTTTAATTACAGTATAGAGAGCGACAAAACGCTCCGTTTCCACAGGCTGGATTTCTTGGGACGGGGTTTAATAGAGAAATTGAGTCCATACATCTCCTTTGACGCCAAATCCATGTCTACAAACCCCATGAGCTTTCCCACAACAGAGGCACTCTCTCGGACATGCTCCATGTCTTTGTTCTCTGACCATAGACGATGCGCCAGCTGAAGCCTCCTGTGCTTTGTGTTCAGCGCAATGCCCCATCTCAAGAACAGGTTCTCTCTCTCTTCTTTGCTCAGTTTCTTCTGCATCAGCTGACTCAGCTTGTACCTCTCCCTATTCAACGCCCTCAAGCTGTTTCGTTTCACAGCCCAAAACAATTAAAAAATAAAATACATTTTCAAAGAAAGGGAACGTGCTTTGGGTGAAAAGATAAACATACCTTGACATTGATGTAAGAGTGCGTCCGTTTTCAATAGTTTTGCTATTGTTGGTAAAGGTTTCTCTGATGTACTTGAGCCTACGGAGCTCTACTTCCATGTACAAGCAATCTTTCTGATCTCCTCTGAATAAAAGGAAGAAGTAACTTCTGTGTGCCATGGAGACGTTGCAAGCATGCCATAGCTCTATAATCTCCATCTCTAGTCTGTTGAACTCCAACGACCAGTTCAATGGCGAAGTTAAATAGTCTTGTATGGGGTCCACTGCTGCGTCCTTGAAACTCTTCGACGATCTCAGTGCCATGAACTTTTGTTCTATTTCCTCCATCTGCCATGTTTGATAATAGAGACAACATTTTAGTAACAGAAGGCTATGCTTGACCAATTTAGTAAAACTAACCGATAAATGAATGATTCGCTTGTCCCTTGGAGGAACAGTCTCTTCACCTTCCTCCTGGTTGATGGAAGAAGCTCTACCATTCATGTGACTCTCAAACACAGGAGCGCTAGAGGAAGACACCTGTGAGCCACTCAGTGATGACTTTCTCTTTTCCTCCAACCAAGTTGCTGGCATGCTCATCTGGCTAAGGTGCTTTGGTAATGGCGGCCTCTTGATGTTGGACGGTTTCAGGTTGCTCTCAGATCTTTCTTTCTGATACCAGCTTGGTGGTGTGTTAGCATCTCTCTCATACTCATACAAAGCAGAGGACGAACTCGATACAAAGCTTGTTCCGCAGCTGGGGCTTCCATTATGCTCCATGTTTCCTACCGTTTGCGAATCCTTCTCAAGATGCCAATCAAAAGGCTTTTCAGGAGATATGGGGACAGGTTCTGGATGTGTATGGTCTCTTATGAGGTTAGAAGACTCTTGAGGAATTGATTCGTCTGTTAGTGACAGAACACAACGTGGAGAGACTTTAGCAGGTTCACTTTTCTCTTTTGGTTGGATAAAGACAGCACTGACTTCCTTCACTACTTCTTCTTCTTCAGTTTCCGTTGGTGGTCTTAAGTTCTTTGAATCTGGTACACATACTGGTAACACTTTCACAGCCATACACTCGTCTGGAAGCATGCTTGGCTCTGGAGACATGATGATACCGAGACTCTCTGTTTCTATGCATCGACGTTCCGTGAAAGTATCTTCAGAACCCACCTCACTTGGTTCCTCCATTTCATGAAGTCTCTCCTCCTGAACACAAGACTGATCTACAGATTTCCCCTTCTGAATGTGCGGTTGGTTTTTACTTTCTGTTCCACGAATATTAAGTCGAATTTTAGTGAATTTCCCAGGAGTTACACCAGCACCAGATTCTATCCTAAAGTCTGAAAGCTGGAAGACATTTTCGTCAGAACCGTGCTCGGTTGATTGTGGGGAAATCATATTAGAGGGATGAGCTGATACAGGGCTTTCTGGTGTTATTTTAAGAGATTCCCATGAACTGCGCACCCGCAGCTTGGGGTATTGATGTCCAAGAACCACCTGTGCAAATACCAAGACGGGGTTATAAATCAAGCAGTTGAAGGGTATATTCAAGCCTTCGGTAGACATTCAAAGATGGAAAATGACTTACATTTGTATGTTCTGAGTCAGTTGGTAATGCTCCAATAACTTGTTGCAGATCCTCAATCCGAGAATAAGCCCTCTCTAACTGTTGTGCTAGTTGAAACACCTCTTTATTTAGCTGTAAATAATCAAATAAAGAGTGAATGGATCATGAATAGAATTCACATATTAAGCCAGATTACCATTACAAACGGTGTCTGGTGATACAAAGATTGTCGTTACAAAAATATATATTTCAACTGGTTTTTAGATAACTTGATGGGTTGATTGAAGTAAATAGCAGTACCTTTTCAATCTGGAGGTCCTTCTCCACCAGTAATGCAGTTGTATCAGACACAACAAGAGCTTGGCGAGGGCTTTTCAACTCACTCTCCAGTTTAGCCAACTCCCTTTGTAAATGTTTAACCAGAACTTTATCAGACATGACGACATTGACTTGTGCATTTGTCGCCACCTCCTTTGCACAGCTTGCGAATAACAATGTGTTCCTTGATTGCTCAACGTGGATTCCTGCAGGACTCAGGGTGCAGATTATAGCAGTTCTGGCGTTTCCTCCCAACGACGTCTGAAGTATGCGCGTCAGCTTTGAATCTCTGAATGGAATGTGCCCAGTTTTTCCTTTGCTGCATTAAGCTAGCCATTTAATTAAGTAATGTAAAAGAAAGGCACTCAATTACAATACGCTTGCTAGAAGTTAATAGCAGCAGTCTGCAAATAACTTGGTAACGCAGGACAAATAGGTAAAATTCATATGTTTTAGCTTAAAGAACTCAACTATCAAAGACAATATGGAGCAGCTTATCAATCATTAAAGACAAGGGAAATTGCTAAGAGCAGACTAAGGTGTCACAAATTAGGGGACATCATTGAAGCTAAAGGTGTTAAACAGGCTAACCTTAGCTTTCGAATGACAGTTCCTAATGTTAGTAAACTTCGGTTTATATGACCACCTTCTTTCAACCTTGTTCCAGCTGATAATGACTGAGACGCACGCTCGCTTCCCGCAAGATCAACAAAATTCTGCAGGTAATTACCTAACCTATGAACTTATTTCCTCTTTTTTACCAGGATAACTTATGACGGACAATTCAAAGTACATACCACTGTAGCTGTGAGTGTACTAAATTTTTCATTCGCCAAATATTCACGTGCTGTGCTTTCAACCGTCTGTAAAAGATATCACTCATAAATAATTTCCGAAAAAGCAGCATAGAATCTTTAATGTAAACCAGAAAAATGTCTTACCAATCTCAGAATCTGATGGGAGCGGGAACTAACTTCATTTAAAGCTGTCTCTCCAATTTGTCGCTGAGCTGCAAATATTAGATGATCCTAGTCAATTTGATGCTAAACATGAAAAGTATTAATGTACAAACACGTCTTTAAAGTCAATACCTATACAGATTGATAAAAGCTCCTTAAAATGTTTCCAGTCTCGCAAAGTTTCCTCAGTGAGTTTCTCAACAACTGTCCCTTTCTGTCAAAAAAAAGCAAATGACCAGCAAAGTTAGTATATGCATAACAACCTCCATAAGTGGTTAAGAATAGTCAGGCAATGACAAGTTTTACCTCAGGATCATCTAGAAGTCTGAGTGGACTAACGTCTGTGCTCAAGAGGTCTCTTACAGACTCATTATAGATCTCCATGGCTGAGAATTTCAGAACGAATTCTCTTTCCTTGTGCTGCAAAAACACATAATTAAGAAGGCTTCAGAAATAACATGGAAATGGTGCGGTAAGATTACTATGAAGTCTATCATAAAGCTAACTTCACCTTCTCAATGTAATCATATATATCAGCCAAGGCGTAATCAGTAATTCCACTCATAGTGTACGTCTTTCCACTGCTTGTTTGTCCATATGCAAAGACACTAGCTGAAACAAGTATTGAAACGTGTATCCAACATTAGCCACAGTATATAGAGACTAGAAAGCAGGACTAGGCATGCCTTACCATGAACCCCACTAACAACAGAGAGAGCCACTTCCTTCGCCCCTTGATCATACACATCCTTCGTACAACACTCAGGGCCAAAGACTCTGTCTAGAGGCATAGTAAAGCTCAGCAAAACAAGTTTACATTTTTACAAAGAAGCTGCAAAAGTAAGAAATGTCTTACCAAATGTGTATGCAGTGGGGTACATGGAACGCTCGGAAATGGAAAGATGACTCCTGTATATGACCGTTTCATCATTGATACACTCCCAATCCGCCACATCATTCCTAACCCTTTCTCTCACACTTAATGGCCTCAGACGAACAGAAACAAAAATCTTCTCTTCCCTCCCGCTAGATCCTTGCATCTGATCCTCTCCTGTAGCCATCTTCATCCCTCACTTCCCTTCCCTCATCTATATAGAAACCCGGACGAAAAAATCAGCAATGTCATATATAAATATATATAGAGAGAGAGAGACAGCTCAGTCATTGTAGAAGAACATTGTCTATATCCACGTGTTTTGTATACAATATAATGACAATGAGAATCAGTAGCAACGTGGTTCTTTTTTTCATCATTTTCTGAGACATATTAAAATTCAGGAAGAAGAGTATAATGGTCCCTCTCCTATACAACATTCGGTTCAAAATGGTCTTTCTTGCATGTTGCAAAGATTCAAGCTTACTCTTATATTATTATTATTATTATTATTATTAATATATCAGTTACCTTTTGGAGGATTTGATAAATATAATGTTGGATACGGTGGCAAGAATGTTCAGTAACTCCATGTGCAGAGAGGAAACAGAGCTTTGACTGCTTCCAATAAACAACAAAGAAACACACAAATTTTAGCCGTAAGATCCAAGAAAATAATATTAAATATAAAAATATGTCCACCGGACCATAAAACCTAAGTTTCAATTTTAATCAAAGAATGTCCCACAAATTCATTAAAAAAAAATAGCCACAAAAAACACACCATCGTGCCTAGTTTTAACGGACCGAACAGCATTAAACACGAATCAATGAACCATGCCACGGTCGGAAATTAAGAACAATGAACCATGCCACGGTCGGAAATTAAGAACAATGAATCAACGTAACTCTAACCTCTGCGTGACACCTGATGTCTCTCTGAGGTAGGGAGATTTAGAGACACGAGTTGAAAATCGAGATGAATAACAATGGCGGAAGCGACGGTGAACGATGAGGAGATCGGGAAAAAAATTGTAAGAGAGATTGATCGGGGTCGACCTATTCCGCTCGATAGAGCGACAAATCAGGTAATTCAAAAAAGAAAGAGAATCGGTGTTGCGTAGCTGTTAAATTAGCTTCTTCATTGGTGGATTTAGGAGTTAGCTAATTATAATTAGCAATTACCGCGCCTAAAGAAAGAACATTATTTAAGCAATTAATTTTTTTTTTTTTTTTGGGACTATAGATTATTTATTTCCTAAATGTTTCTAGATTTTATTGTCTTGTTGCTGATAAATCATACAATTTGCTACAGAATATTAAATCTAAATAATAAGGAAAAAAGTCAAGTAATTGCAAACATCATTAAAAATCAGCCAGTAAAAGTATGGCTGAGTTTGATTATCCACAAATTCCAGAAACACAATAATAAATGTTCTTAGACAATATCTTTATTATATTTCCTCAAAATAATAATTTTACATTTATACAACCATTATTTGGATTTGAAGACTAAGGGTCTGACTGGTTGAAACGCGGCGGTTGCGATTGCGGTTGCGGGAGTTTGCGGAAGTGGGTGGTTGCGGTTACTAGCGTTATTAGGCGATTTGTACGACTGGTACAGCGATTAAAAACTGGTGTGTTTGCGGGACATTTATGACTGGTTGATTATGAGATACTACAGCGGTTCAATAATAAATTTCCAATATTAACATATTATAACATTATAAAAATATCAAAACATATTGTTATGATAAAAACAATAACTATTAATATATTATAAGTAATAACAATATTATTTTTATTATTTTTTATTTAGATGAAAATATAATTTCTATAATTAATAAATATTATAATATAATATAATATAATTAATTATATATTTATGTATTTATATATTTATGTATTTATATATTTATATATTTATGTATTTATATATTTATATATTTATATATTTATATATTTATATATTTATATATTTATATATTTATATATTTATATATTTATATATTTATATATTTATATATTTATATATTTATATATTTATATATTTATCTATTTATATATTTATATATTTAATATTGAAAATTCTTGATTTAAAGTTTTATAAATAGATTATGATATTTTTAGTGAATTTAAATTAAAAATAAAAGGTAGATATAGTTTTAGTTATATTATTTTAATTTAAATTTAAAAGAAAAATAGTTTTTTTACCCACCCGCAAACGCAAACGCTAGCTGAAATCAGCTTTTGATTTTAAGAGGTTGGGAGCGGTTTGAAGCGATTTGTAGCGGTTTTTGTGATTGTTGCAAAACGTTAGCAACCGCCATCAACCGCAAAAGCTGCGTTTGCGGGTGGTAGCGGGGAAACCAGTCGGACCCTAAGATAACATAGGAACGAAATTGTAATCAATGTTGGATTCATTATCAGTTTTAGGTTGATAAATCACATCACTTGCCTAACCACCTATTTTATGAACATACATTATTTCAGTCTTAATGGTACATCACATCATAACCACAAAAAAAGAAAAGAATTTGCTTTACTCTGCAAGCAATGATTTCTACCACCATAATATTTACAGCTAACCTTAGTGAATTTGTAGTTCACTTTAACAACATAAAAGCAGAGCACATGATATGTTTGCTTTTTCTTACTTACATCATTTTCAAGTACATACGAGTGATTCAATGCGCAGGTACGTCCAAAAGACAAATAATTAAACGTTAATGTACAAGTAGACCATCTTAATAAATATCACTAAACTTAGTATATCTTTTTTTTTTTTCCCGTCAATAATTTATTTAAATAAAGGGCTGAGCCCAACATGTTACAAAGCAAAGCCAACAAAGCCCAACAACTACAAGGCATCTGAAACCACAATACATGGGCCACAGGCCCACCTACGAAAACCCTAGAAACAGAAAGATAATGCCGCCGCACGAACAATTTTCGAAACCGACATCACCCCTGCTNTTTTTTTTTTTTCCCGTCAATAATTTATTTAAATAAAGGGCTGAGCCCAACATGTTACAAAGCAAAGCCAACAAAGCCCAACAACTACAAGGCATCTGAAACCACAATACATGGGCCACAGGCCCACCTACGAAAACCCTAGAAACAGAAAGATAATGCCGCCGCACGAACAATTTTCGAAACCGACATCACCCCTGCTTCGAGCCACCGCCGGAGAATCAACCGTCGATTCACCGGGACTCCCCGGAGCTAACAAGCTCCACACCTTTTCCACCGCAAACGTCTTTCAACTCAAGTGTTTCCATTATCGGAGAGCATCAATCGCCTGTTCGAGATCTCATCCGCTACCATTCATCACAAACACCAAGAAGAAAGCTTCGCACGAACCATCACCGTTTACCATCGGAGAGCTTCGATCATCTTCCGACGAGATCTCATCCACCACATCCAAACCGAAACCACATAAACAAAAGGATAAAAAAAGATAAACAAACCCTAAAACGAAACTACGGAACCAAAAGCCGGCGACGTAAGGTAAGGAACACCTTCACCCTCCGGAAGCAAGACGGCAACGATGGAGCTGAAAAAGCCTCCACCTTCCGTAGACTTTGCCGGCGACGCAGAGCTGAGAGAGCCTCCACCCCCGGAACCTTAGACGGCAACGACAGAGCTATGAGAGCCTCCATATCCCGTAGCAAGCAAAACCTGACCTGAGTAACTGACTATCGCTGCGACCCGTCGTCCTACCTCCTCACCACGAAGCTAGAGGAAGATGAGTTGCCGGCGTACGAAGCTCCCACTTGGGAGCCCTTCCCGTAGCAAAACCCTAACCCAGATCCGTCAGTATATCGGAAATGAACCACCGATCGGAGCCTACAACACAATGGCTAGACTATTTTGACAAGAAAGGGGGCCGCCGTCGCCGACACGCGCTCGGACGCGCAGCCGGACGACGGGGCTACCTCTAAACACGATTCTCTCTCTTTTCTCTCTCACTAAACTTAGTATATCTCTAACTCTTGANCCCTAACCCAGATCCGTCAGTATATCGGAAATGAACCACCGATCGGAGCCTACAACACAATGGCTAGACTATTTTGACAAGAAAGGGGGCCGCCGTCGCCGACACGCGCTCGGACGCGCAGCCGGACGACGGGGCTACCTCTAAACACGATTCTCTCTCTTTTCTCTCTCACTAAACTTAGTATATCTCTAACTCTTGAAACATACGAATCCGGCCAAAACAGAAAAGCATACGAATAATATAATATGTAATTCAAAGAATAGCTTTAAAAACCATATATTTAATCGTCACACTTATCAAAACATCTAAAGGATTATGATAGGAATCTCACATTGAAAATGACATGGAACCTATAAAAGTTAACATAGTACTAATTACATAATGATTCAAATAGGATAGTAAAAGTGATGAATAAGTTGTTGATGCATTTGTTAGTGTATGATTTGCTTTGATATGCCTAACAAATATCACTATGTTCAATAAACATATACTAATTTACTCATTACCAAACTATTTCTCAATTAAATTCATACAAAACTGAACAGAATCTAATCTAACTTGACAGATTCGAATCTATTCTATCTGTAGAGGAAATGCATGAAATAGCCCGCAAGCGCAAGAGACGAATAGTGAAGTCACAGCGAAATAACAAACTCCAAAATCAAAAATCTCTTTCTCTATGCCACATGAAGATAATGCAGTTTCTCTTTTTGTTTGTGTTTTCACATATCCGAGATAAGAACTAAAGAAAAAGAGCTAGAATGCTGCTACCTAAGGTAGCTCGAAGACACCCAAAGCAAAACATAGCTTAAAAGCGAAGACATTACTTCAAAACCTCTTGGTCCTTTAATGACCGGCGGAATCACAGATACCATCAAGAAAGTCCCAATCAGCCACGAGAAGATAAAAGAACCACTCCTGTTTCATCACAACATCAACCTAAATCAGTTGCATAATCCAAAACCAAGAAGGTATAAAAAGGCTTTGACGATTATTACCCGTAAAGGAAAGACCAGAGCTTCTTCTTCATCCTCTGGTGGATGAAGTAAAACGTAGCTACCACTGACAACAAAACCTGAAGAGTGGGTCCTTCTTCTGTCGGGAAAAGAACCGTAAGAGCTCCAAGAACCGCAAACGTGACTGCCGTTTTGACAAGGAAAGCAGTGGCGGGAGTTTGGAATCTCTCGAAGACAAAGTTCACAGCTTTGGACTGTCTCACTTCTCGTACCTTCTTATTTATATCTATCTTGGGGTTCTTCCTCTCATGGAACTTTTGCATGATAATCTTGTCATGAGCTGATTCGATAGCTTCAACACTAAGTTTGTGACCAGAGTACTGCTGCATAAGAAAGTTCCTGGCGCCTTGAATCTCATCCTCTGATGCCAAGCGGCTTATCCCAAGCCGTTTGTATGGATCTTTGACATTAATCCGAGGGAAAACAACTGAACCAAAACCAGGAATTTTAATGATTATGCTTTAATTTTTAAGTAAATAATATTACTTCGATTACTGACAAAAGAAGTTCAACTAGAAAGCAAACTAAAGTAACGTAACACAGAAGAAGCATTTTAGAAATATAACCTAGGAATATGCATTAGCTCGGAGTCATGTAGTATATTTTACCAGTTGAATCGTCTGCCTTATCACCAAAGGAAGCACTCATGGCACGGACAATCATAGAGTTGCTTCTTTGTGTTGGAAGTGCCAAACAAGCCCTATGCAATAACAGCAACGAAAGAACAAGAGATTAGAGATAAACATTGATGAGAAAGAAGTAACATAAGCTTGCAATCGAATTAACAAAAAAAAAAAGACTAACCTTTGAAGATAAGTTGATGTTTCTGGACGGTTCAGTTTGGGAAGAAGAGTAAAAGCCTGAGATCTTCTCTGAGATGAACCAAAACGATCTGAACGCCATTGAAGGTGAAAACTGGGAGACTTGGGAGTTACGGTTAGACCGGACGCACTCATCATCTCTGGCAAAGACGACCGGAGCTTTCCTTCACAACAACAAACTCAATCCCTAAAATTCAAAAAAAAAAAAAAAAAGAATCATCTAAATAACTGTACCTAAACCAATTGCAATTTGGAAAATGACTATGCATTGTGACCCAATTCGCGCAGCTGGTGAAACTAGAAGCTAACGTCAGACGAGTATCTGTAACTATGTTATAAAGTTCAAGTTCTTGCATCTCCATTGAATTAACCAAAAAGACAACTTTTAATACTACTGTATTAGCTTCTAACCAAACAAGAAAACGAAATAGATAGGGAGTACCAGAGTTGAAGAGACGGTATCGGCGATGAAAACTATTTTTCAGAAATCCATTTTTCCCTTTGGCTCCTCCAACCATCCACTAACAAAACGCTGCTCGCAACGGATAGAAGATGAGCTACCTACCCGCAACAACAACAAATAATATTTTGTATTAAAGGTTTCTGTGAAACGAATTATCAACAGTCCGTCGTAGTCTAGCTGGTTAGGATACTCGGCTCTCACCCGAGAGACCCGGGTTCGAATCCCGGCGACGGAGCTTTTTTAGTTTTCATTCTCTATTTTAATTAATAAAAATTTAGATAATCTAACATCGTTAACCATCCGTCGTAGTCTAGCTGGTTAGGATACTCGGCTCTCACCCGAGAGACCCGGGTTCGAGTTCCGGCGACGGAGCATTTTTTTTTCTACCATTTCAATGCATTTTTCTAACTGCGGTCAAGCTTATATCATTCATCAACGTAAATGGATATATGAAATCATATAGTCTGAAAGAATGGAAATAGTAAGCGATTGTGACAAGACAACTGTACATCAAATTTTTAGACATTTAAAAGTTTTTGCTAATATCGATGCCTTGCAGTTTTTTTTACTGTTATATTTACAGAGTCTGTGGTAGAAGATAGCCTCTCGAGCCAAAGCATAAAAGCCTCCCTACAAAAGACAAAAAGATCAAGTATCATCCACATGATATGAGAGGAGTTTTTAATTCAGTAGCATACAACACCTTGAAGCAAATGAACTTGCAAAATACATGTCTACAGAAAAACTGAAAATAAATGACGAACTAATAAAGACATACCTCCTCGAAAACACATCATGACTGGAACAAAGTTATGGTGGCTATATGACCATTCTTCATCACCTGCAAAATGTTAACCCAACTTAATAAGTTTCGTTTTAACAACCAACACAAGGATCACAACAAACGAATTAAGGTTACTAAAAAAATGCTTCACCTCAAAAGCAACATCCTGGTAGCCATACACGTATGTGGATCCAAATGGGTTGCTGGTTGATCCCTGTGTCTGAATAGCTGCTGGTCCACACTCCCCGAGTATTTCCTATTAGGTGTGAAAGCAATGGTTTCATTCATCACAAATGTTTCCTATCATTTTACTTTTATGCTTGTACATCTTTGGTCTGAAACTTATATACCTTAACCTGGTCCCAATTCGTACTTGAAGTGATCTTGTTTCCACCTCTGTTTGCTTCCGCCTCACCCTCTCCAACTGAAAGCAGCAATAAAGCATAGTTTTGTTGAAAAATAAGACACAACACATCTGAATAAAGGATATAAATGATTGACACGAAGCAGCTACCATTTGCTTCACTTACCAGAGATCACAAAGTTGCACTTTATGTATGAGTTGAAATCAGCATGACCAGGATAGTTGGTGTGAAGAACAAACTTCTTAGCCTTGTGAGTCTGTAAAAGAAGGTAAGAGTCACGGATTGACAAAATAACATATGAAGGGAGAGAACATATTAACTCTATCTGACGAGTTGCCTACCTCGCCGTCAAACAGGATGTCGAAACCACGAGTGAAATAGTTGTAAAAGTAATCACCACAAAGAGTTGTTTTTGGTCGTTGATCTGACGCGGAATGAATAACCATTTGATCTACCTGGAAAGCAAATTACAATTTCAGAAGCAGAAACTTAAACAAACTGTGACAGATAATGCAGGCAAGATAGCTAGAGATGCTAATGTAAGCAGCTGTTAGCGATATATAGCAAACAAGTTTAGAGAGTCGGGCATGGATCACCTGCTTTGGGTGGATCCCACATGGTCGTCCTAATTCAGTCCATACATCCTGCACGGAGCATGAAATGATGAGTTCCAAAGAAGAAGCACAATAAGACAGGTACTAAGTTTACCTGTGGGGATGCACCAAAAGGCAGATGCTGGCCTCCAACAGTAAAGTACAGTTCCTTTCCAAGCTGCATAAGTATATAATGAAGTCATGCGAAATGTAAGGTGGTGTTCATTAAGAGATGCGGGAGTAAATGAATATAAAGCCACACCTTGACATGAACCTCTTCCATGTAAAGACTGCCAGGGGCCAAAGGAGGGACTGAAGCTTTATCCATCAGTTTTCCTACACCAACTTTTTTCTCACTCGATTTGTCATATAGAGAGACCCGGCATGTAACTGGTGTGGTCCCATCTGGAAACTCTAGTGGTAGCGCCACTTTGTAGAAGAAAGATACAAGTCAGTAGATATTGAGACAAGACAAAGAAAGAAAACAGAATTTCTTTTGGAATCAGGAGAAGAACATACCTTCTCCATCATGGCAGCAGTCCGTGTACTGGTCCGGAATTGGAAACTCGAAAGATAGCCCCTGCCATCGTTTAAGAAATGATAAACATTAACAGAACAAATTCAGACATATATGAAAGATTAGTGTGACCGTATTATTATCTCACCGGGTAGAACAGAGCGTAAATCCCTCTCTCTTTATCATAAATCCCAGGGAAGGTCGGTCCAAAAAGTGCATAAACAGCCACAAACGTAGCCAGAGTTGATGGACCTCTGAAGTACAAGAAAAAAAGACACAGTCAGTACAAAAATAAACTACACCAAACTCGTAACTTTTAACTCACCCAATCAGAGAAGTGCCGTAACGCATCTGAAGCCGCTTCACATCATATATCTCAATAAGGCGTAACCTCTGCAAACAAATTAGGACGAACAATAACTAAACTGTATTGCACAAAAAAATTTCAAACTAGTCAAATAACCAAGGTATCATGAGGATAACGTTTCCAACACAATAGATCAAGAACTAAGTATGAACATTGTGTAGTACCTGAGACCAGGGATCAAAGCGAAGATGAAAACCATGATCCGGAAAGCTAATAACAATATCCTGTTTCAGAGGATCCTGCACAAGCCAAAAGAATCAAACACAAAAATCAAGAAGATAAACTAAAAAGATGAATCAGTCTCATGAGAAGAAAACCTCGTCGTAGTATTTGACATGAACAACATCATACACGTTTGGATTCTGCTCTATTTTCCCAAACGCATCACAAATTGGCATTCCTGAAAACAAACAACACCATCACTAGTCAAACTGATCGGATCGCTCGATCAAACTGATGAACTAAATAACTGAATCAAAGAATCCTAAAAACGGCACGCAATCGCAATCAAACTGATGAACTAAAATAACTGAATCAAAGAATCCTAAAAACGGCACGCAATCGCAATCAAACTGATGAACTAAAATAACTGAATCAAAGAATCCTAAAAAACGGCACGCAATCGCAATCAAACTATACTACAACATGATCCAAAAAACGGCACGCAATCGCCGATCGCAAACCGATCGTCATCTACCAAGTCCGATAATCGATGATAAACTGATCTTCGAGTTCCAGAAGCAGTAGAGAGATTTTTGAGAGAAAGTCATCGCATACCGATATAGAAAGGTCCGATGCCGACGCCGGGTTTGAGATCGAAGATTGTGGAGCCCATGGCGGTACCTTCTAACCGTCGACTTGTTCTCTGCATCGCATATTTATCGCCGATCTTGGAGTAATCCTTCATTTTTTTTTTGATCGGTGGTTTCTTTGGCCGGAGAAGAGAACTATCTTTCTTTCTTTTATTTTCTTCCCTGTGGTTGGTTGCACGCTAAAGGATTGATTGCTGCTGAAGACGGGTCGGGTCTATTTAAATAACATTGCTGTAGCGTAACTTTTGTTTAGTGTATTACAATATTAATTATATTCATGTAATTTTAATTCAGAGTAGGCATTTTTTTGTTTCCAATATATTGTTGCTCTTATTTTTGATTATCTTAATATATACTGGACTTGCCTTTCTTTGATTAGAGCTGTTAAAGTTTTAAATTTTCTTGTGTTTGGGATGTGTTTCAAGTATATTAGTTCTCTCCATAAACGTAATTCTCTAGAGCTTTATGATTATATATGGTAAATGATTGTAGATGGTTGTTGACTATTGCAGATCAAATTGCTCTGTTCTGCATATATTGTAACAATCGTTTGCTTTATTTGGGGGGGTGAAGCAGAAGTATTACCTCTAACTTACCAATATTAGTTTTAGTATCCAATGTGCTTAGCACCATTTCATTTCCATACGTAACCAATAAAGCAATCACTAAATAGTTTTAAAGGGCTTTCATTAATAAGGAATCAAATGAAGTAGCAAGCAATTACAAAAAAAAAATTAGAAAAGATAGGCGCATTGCTACCTGTGGAGATTTGCCTTATCTATTCTGTTATTTAATCAAGCAGTTGGTAATCAGTATATTCTTTAGCATTAACTGCATTCCTTCTAATCTCATATTAATAAAAATAAAATCATTGTATATATTCAGAGAAGAAAACTAAATATTACACATATATTAATGGAAGAGTAATGATAAGGGGAAATCTCCCAAAAATTCTTTAAATGTTTTTTGGGTGACTAAACATGCACACAAAAGAAAAATTGACCAAAATAAGTTTCAAGAGGTAAAAAATATTTATACCAATAATATATATATAGATATATTTTTATATATAATTATTAAAAATGAAAATCACTTTGTATTTTAAAAAATAATATTTGAATTTTTTTATTTATTTTTTAAAACCTTCTTTTTCCAAAAAATTAAAATTATTATTTTAAACTTACAACCTAAATCTTAAGTTTGAAACCTTAATCTATAAACCCTAAAAGCCACTCCAACCAAATATAAATCTAAGGCTATATTAGTAAACTATAATCTTATAAATGTCATTTACCTATTTAATTAAATTTATATTCATCATTTTGGTCTTCAGAGTCTTTTTTGTGTAAAATCTTTATAATGCAATAACTATTGATGACTTAAAATAAAATAACTAGTTATAATAACTATTGATGACGTAAATAAATTAAAATAAATTTCTGAAAGTGTGATACTATTTTACGACAAAATTATAATCATACAAGAAAAATAATGTAACTTATTATGCAATGAGATCATTATAGGTTTATACTCCCTCCGTTCCTAAAAGATCCATGTTCTGGAAAAATATTTTGTTTCAAAAAGATGTATATTCTATGTTTTCTATGAGAAAATTACAAGTTTCAAAATAATTAATTGGTTTTATTAGATTACTATTGGCTAAAAGTTGTTGAAAATTGGAAATTGCTGAAAAAGATAGTAATTTAATGTGTTTTCTTAATATGTGTGAAAACACTAGAAAGTCTATCTTTTAGGAACAGAGGGAGTATAATTTAAACATTGATTATAGAAAAAATAGATTATCAGTTAACCTTTTTTCTTTCGAAACATTATGTAACCTTTTTTGAAAAAAAAACATTATGTAACTTAGTTAATTTCTTTAGTTTCGGCGGGATGATAATTTTATATACAAATTATTTTATGTATTATTATTTATATTATGTTTTTACATATAATAAAATAATAAACATATATATTGGATAACTAAAGTTAGTAAATATTATTTATATAATTAAATTAGCATGCTCACATAAATTAAAAATTCACACTTGTTTATTTATAATCACTTTATATAAGTAAATTTAGAAAATAAATGATATTAACATAGATATAAATAGTATATTTTTAATTTGTATATCTATAAAATGAAGCTTCATAATTATATGGTTTTATGATCATTTTTATCTTTTCATAACAAAATTTTTTAATCATTAATAACAAAAAAATAAACCATTGATAATATTTATAGTAATTCATATTCATTTAAAAAATTCAAAATTTGAAACTAAAGTATTAAATTCTTAATACCTGTTCAATGCAAATTTTGAAATTAAAAACTTTATATATTTTTAGATGGCATATAGTTCAATTTAAACGTCATTAGAAAATTATATATTTTTTTTTGATCAAATAAAAAAAATTATATATATATATTATTCTGAAGATCTATTAAATGATACTTTTTACTCACTGATTGTATAGTTGTTTTGTATCTTGTTATAACAAAAAAAAATATTAATCACAAAAATAATCTATGTTGAATTTAAAAGTTTTATTAATCATGGTCATTTTTAAAAATTCAAAATATAACATATAGAAAAAATATATTTTATTGTATTATATAATTGTTGTGATTGTTTAATTTATTTTCATAATATAAATTTAACAAAAAAATAGAGGATACATAAATGTTAATAAATTATTTTTTGTTCAAATCACTAATTTCATATATATAAGGAAATAATGAAGAGCATTTATAATGGTTTATATTAGGTAATTTCGTAGCTTTTATTTAATGGAATAATGAAGAGTATTAGTAATAGTTTATTGTCAATTTAATAAAAAAAAATATTATATATTTATATGGATCAATATATTTTTTTAAAAAAAGTTGTGAAATATTCTAGTGATTACACGTGTCATAGCTAGAATGTTGTAATGGTTCTCTTTTATTATATAGGGAATGATATCTCTTGGTCTCTTTAATATTGTGATCACTCTTGAAAATAATATAATGATGGATACCACTTGACTAAAAAGGGTAGATGTTGAAGAAAAAGTTCGGCAAACAAAATATCTGTTTCAAAATTTCATAGCAAAATGCAAGTTTAAACATACACGTGAACAATGCCCCCACAAAGATGCAGAGCCTACCTACAATACCATTATACCATATCATGATATGAGTGAGTTATATAAGCATAGATAAATATATTAAATTAAATGTTTTTCTGCACCATGTGCAGGATGATTTTTTAATTTAAATAATATTAATAATATATTTTGTTAATATCTTAACTTTTCTAATTTTATATCAATATTTTAATCTAAATTTAATTTAATTAAACATAAAAATAAGATAAGTAAACAATTTAATTTATTTTACATTATATTTAAGAATATATATGCATATATGTAAAACTATAATCGTAAGAATATATATGCATATATGTAAAACTATACCATCTAGTATGTTATGTTATTGTTTTTTGTAAAATTGATTTTGGTGATTACACGTGTCAAAATCACTTTTCAAATAATATATAAGAGATAATTAATGTTTATTATGCGATAAAATGAAAATAACTAAAGTCTGAAGATGTAAATAAACTCTTAAATACTAATGGTATCATTGGTATATATTCCATCAGGTGATTCTTTGATATTTCAATATGTAAATATATGTTTTCGAATATTTTTTTTTATTTCAAGAGTTCACCCACATCTATACTATTATTTGCGAAGTGATTTTTCGCAATGGAGCTCTCACGTTAAAAGTTAGACTGGTTAATATCGTTTATATCCTTAATGTATAATTAAAAAATTCAATATATAATTAAACATAAATAAAAAAACGAATTTCAATTGATTTTAGATTTATCTTTATCTAAAACTATTTTATATTGAGTTATAAAGTCTTTATTAACCTTGAAAAATAATTATATTTGTTAATATATAATTAATTATAAATTAAAAAGAATTTCATTTATTTGATAATTATCCTTATTTAAAAAATTATATTATGTTTATCAACCTTGAAAAATAATTATATTTATTAATATATAATAATTCTATATTAAAAACGAATTTTATGAATTTGATAATTATCCTTATCTAACTTTTTTATATTATGTTATAAAGTCTTTATTAACCTTTAAAAATAATTATATTTGTTAATATATATTTAATTATGAAAAAATCAATTTGCAAAGAATATACGTATAGATAATTTATATTGTGTTATCCAAAACATCTAAAGTTAATTTTAGTATACTTCTTTTTGTTATGTCTAGAAAACATATTAATTTCTTACTAAATATTTTAAATTTATGAGAATTTCACATTTAATTTGTTCAATGATAACTATTTATATGATGATGAAAAATTTTATATATAGAAAGAATCTGTTTAGATTATTATTAAATGTTTTGAGTGTATGCACAATAATTTATTATAATTTACATAAATTGATTATATATTTGTTTATAGATATTAGTAAAATTATTAAGCCCGTAAGTGCGGGCAAAACAACTAGTGTGTGAATAATGAAAATGAAATGCAAAGTACCACACATAATCGATCGCTTGGTTATTCATTTGTTGGTATGTAAATTAAAATGTGATATTCTCTTAATTCGAAGTTTGAGATATAAACCTGAAGGTTTTACCTATAAGTTAAAACATTAGATTTGATTTTTTTTTGGTCAAATATTTTATAAAATATAATTTGAAATCTAAAAACTGTAGTGTATTTGGAAGAAAATCTATAAACACAATTTTTTTTATCAAACATAATCATAATTATTAAAAATAGTAACTTAAAAGTCTTAATATTACAAATTTAAAAATTAATTTACCCAGAAAATTTAACATAGGAAGAAGATATGATGTGAAAATAGAAATAAAACTTCTTTTTTTTTATTTGAAACACTGGAAAAAACAATTCTATAAGCAGGAAGAAGTATAACAATTGTCTTCTCTTTAAAATGGAGTCACACAGCAAAGTAATAAGTGGGCGTAAAAGCAAACAAAAAGTCCAAATTATTTTTTTAATTCTTCCCCCACTAGTCTTCCTTCTTCTCTCCATCATCAATCGTCAAAATCCCCCAAAAGAACCTCAGATTAGGGTTTCTCCCTTCACTGATTGATCTGTGAACACTACTCAATACGTATTTCCAAT